CAGTAAAGAGAGCTCAGATTTGCCATCACACAGACAGGGCCTCGGTCAACGTTGTTGTCTTATGTTTATGCGTGCTTGCTCTGTTCTCCCTTCTTCTTCTAGCTCGATCCATAGTGTGTGGGTATGGACACAACCGGTATAGTCGTCTGGGAGACTAGTGGTCTGGTCTGGAAGACTAGTGGTCTAGGAGACTAGTGGTCTGGTCTAGGAAACTAGTGGTCTGGAAGACTAGTGGTCTAGAGACTAGTTCACTATCGTCAGACGGTGATCCCGTGGGCCAACAATGATGAGTGACATTATAGGAGCCAACCCTTAGTGTTGCATTAGAAGTAACCCAACTAGACAATTTCATGAGCATGGCATGTCATTTGTTATCATGTTTATTTAAATACTGACAAATGAAACATAGCATACATTGTCAACTCAAATAGTGATTTGGAAATTTTCATTTGTTTTATGTAATGTCTAACAACACCTTTAAAGAAATACACCATAACGTAATTATTACTCGACCAAAGAATAAATATTTAAAGAGAAAACTATTTCCATTTTTTATAACAAAACTACACCTAATTTTTGTTATACAAAATAGCTAAATAAATTCCTAATATACACATATAAAAGAATGTTGTGGGCCTCATATCTAAAAACTCCAATGAATAAGGTGCACCAATTTGGAATTCAAATTTCAAACCAAATTTGAATTCAAACAAAGGAGAAGAAAAATAAAACAGAAAAAGGAAAAGAAGGAAAGAAGGCCCATAGCAGGGTCGGCCTGCTCGGCCCGCTAGCTTGTGCAAGCAGCCGGCCAGGCCACTGCTAAGCAGCAGCAGAAGAAGTCAGCCCAACTCGCGTGTGCAGCCCCCGCTTCGCTTCTTTGCTTGCCCTTGCCATGGACCCCCCACTGTTAGCTTTCTGTTCATCTTCTCCACGCCCACGCTTAATCGCGCCCACGATGACCGAGGAGGCACAGCAGTGGCGGGGAGGGGCCAGGGGTCACGCTTGGCATGGCCTTGTTCCCCTTGCGCCGTGCTCACGCAACCTCGCGCCACCGTCGGATGCATCCCACGCCTTTGCACCGCACGATGCCGGTCGCCATTGGAGGCATGGTGCTCGGCTATAAAGCCACGCCCGGAGACTTAGCCCCTCCCTCAGCCACCGCCGCCGCTTGGTGGCTCAGCAGCACGCACCACACCGAGAGAAGAGGGCCGAGAAGGAGTTCAGGAGGGGAGGAACGGAGCCACCCACGTGCTGCCGAAGTCGTCGGGGCCGAGGACGACGCCGTTGTCTTCATCATGGTCGTAGGACGGCACTGCACTGCCTCTGTCTTCACGGCCACGACCCTCCACTGCACCACCATCCGATCACCTTCGACACCAACGGTGAGCCCTCGCTGCTAAGACCCCTCCTAGCCCCTGGACGCTGTAGTAGAGCACGCACACGCCGCGCTCCCGACGCCACCATCATGGCACAACCACCGCTTGTGCACCTGACCGCCTCACCGGACTAGGACACCGCCGTAGCACCACCAGGATGCCCGGAGGGTAGCCGCGTAGCCCGAGACCCTGATAGCCGATCACAGCACCCCGGCCACGAGCACCGAACCTCGGCCAGAGCTCCGCCGTGCACCATCACCGCGCGCGGACTCCGCCACGCCTTTTGGTCACCGTCATCACTTGTCCCGGTCGCCCGCTGGCCGTATGAAAGGGAACGGGGCACCAAGACCCTTGGAATGGCCCCTAGCTGCCCCACCGGCGAGCACCGCCATGACCAAGCCGCCAACCGCCATGGCCAACGCCCTGGAGAGCCTCGGCCGCCACCCAGACACCACCATCGTGTTCGCCATGGCCTGGGGAAGCTTTCCTCCACCTTAATTGGATGCCAGCGCCACCGTAGAATCGCGCCGGCGAGCATATCACCGGCGAGAGCACGCCGGGGATGGAAGCAGAGGCCTCCTCTCGCCGACCGCACGCGCCTGCTCTCGGTGCACGTGAGACAAGCCAGAAGGGAAAGAGGGTGGACTCGGTCAACGGTAGACCTGCCAACGGTCCATGGACCGTGAACCTGAGTCCACCGTGAGCCACACAGTGCGGGCCGCACGGTAGACGAAGCCCAGTGGGAGCCCATGGCTACGACGTGGCAGTGCCACAGCTTGCCACGTGTCCGGCCCGACCCGGCCCAAATCCAGCCCATATCCAGGCCCAACCGGCCCAGTTCGGACCCGGTCCGTGTTGACCGTTGATCGGTCAACGTTGACTATTGACCTGGCCCCACATGTCAGTGGCACAGACACTCTGGACCCACATGTCAGATGGTGACGTCATGTGGGACCCACACGTCAGAAGCCAACATAGCCGGGGTGACGTCATGCTGATGTCACGATGACATCAGCTGCTGACGTCAGCAGCCGTGGCCCCACACCTTAGTGACCCTGACCCGTTGACCATTGACCCACCGTTGACTTGACGTTGACTTTGCCCGGACCCACATGTCAGTGACCCAAGAGCCCCTGGACCCACCTGTCGGAACTGATGACGTTGATGACATCATTCTGACGTCATGCTAACATCAGCAGGACCCCACTTGTCAGCTCAGAGCCGAGCCGATGACGTCATGCTGACGTCACGCTGACGTCAGCATGCCACATGGACCAGTCACAGCATGACACGTGTCAGCCCAGGATTAATTCAGCCTTTTCCATTTTCAGAAATGATTTAAACTTCAGAAATTCATAACTAATTCATATGACCTTAGAAAAATACAAAACTAGGACCAAAATTCATCTAAAATTAAGCTCTACGCAATGAACCCATGTTTGAGTGCATTTGGCTCTTTTGAATTTTCATTGCTTCATTGTGCTATTTTATAGACGTCGCTAACGCGACTAATATGTGATCGTTTGTAGATTTGGAGGAGAACCGGAGGGACAAGGATCGTGAGTACCGTGAGGAGTACAGAGACGACTACACTGAAGGTGCCACATCCCACCCAATCTCATAGCACCTATTACGCATGGCTAAAATAGAAATGCTAGTGCTTTACTGTTATGATCACACTATGATAGGACTTGCATGGTAGTATGCTTTCTTGATGGCCTTACCTTGACGCAACCTTACCCCTGCTCACTCTGCTGTTAGGCTAGTCACACGTTTGCTGCTATATTTCATTGCTTATTACTTCTACTACGCTTATACGACATTGATGCGTGGTGGAAAACTGGTGTTATCTGGACTATGGGGAGAGTGCTGCGTGTGTGACTTGGGTGCGTGGAGGGTGAGGGTTGTGTCGACCAAGTTGGAGTATACGACGAGCCTGGGGAAAGTCTTGCCATGGGGTGCTACCTGGGCACCCCTGAAATGGATACCTGTGGTGGGTAAATGGTATATGAGGTGGCCCTGGGTGTGAACCTGTGATGGGAGGAGCCCAGGGTGGAGGTGCTATGGTGGCACGGTAAATGGAAACCCTAAAGAAGACATTCTGGCTTGGTCATCCCCAAGGACTTACTAGTACTCAGATTCACCGGGAAGCCTTATGTACCACTCGTCCTATATGGTGCGGGACGGCCGGACTACTGGGTAGGATATTGCCACTATTGCTAGGTTGATAGTGGACAGTGTGAGGGAGGTACGGGGCGCAGAGGATTTCCCCACACCCTTCTGAGACTTCATGGAGACCTTGTGGACCCGGCTCATGACTCATAGTTTCAGCCACCCCAGACTGGACTTGGGGTGTACCAGGGCTGAATGGTAGAGTGGCATTATCCTAGGCTAGCAAGCGGCCGAAATCAGCCCAGTTGACGACGGTCAGCGAGGAAGGCGGATCTTGTGGTTATGTAAAACCTCTGCAGAGTGTATGGTTGATCGATCGATACATATGCCGACTTGTCGGCTATGGACCTTTCCTGGGTTTCGCTTAAACTAGATAGTGAGATGAGTCCTTCTCTTCTTCGCCCTAGGAGTGAGTGTTCGGACGTAGCCAGGGGCTACGGGCCTTGAGACAGTGCTGAGAGGGAGTTGGCCTGTCGACTGAGCGATGGTATGGGTGTGGCATGGTGATGGTGTGAAGATGGTGGTATATCGATCCCAGGATCGAAACCTGGCTCTGGAATGGGAATGGGAATGGGGTGGAATGGGTGTGGGAATCCTGTTAAAACTTGACCAACTGTTATTATATACTTGAAATGCTAATACATAGGAAACCCTAGCCTTATAGGTTCCTTTCGATTATATCCAACTTGCATCCAATTTCCATGAAGCAATGCCCATAGGGTGGGAGTGGCCAGTACAAATCGTACTGATAAATTTTGGTACACAGGTTCTGCTGAGGAGTATAGCTCTGAGGAGTTTGACGGTTGAGGGGTTCGTTCCTACGCTCAAGTTTGGCGATCTTATCTTCAAGCTGTTCTGAATGAATGCTACTTTTGATTCCGCCAATGCGGCGATGTAATAATTTATGTAATTCCGCACTATTTGTACTCTGATATTATCGTTGTATGGATGTGATATTCGACTGGAATTTGGGTAATATGATCTACATCGGTCTTATTACACTTTGACTCTGTGGATTTCCCTTCGCGGAAATCAGGTCGTTTCACTAAGTGCTTCGATGCTGTGGAAACATCATAATGATTGTGTATGTGTGTTTGGTGACTATGTCTATGTGTTTAATGGATCCAGTCTTAGCATTCAGCTTGTGATTAGAAATGTCCTTGAGGCTCATCTTTGGCGCCTTGCTGGCACTAAGCGGTTATCACATCTGGAGGTAGTCGCCAGGTAGTGCTTGATAGTGTTCAGGTTAGCTCTTGTTTTTGATGTAACAGAAGCGATTCTAACTAAGAGTGATTGGTGTGTGGGTGTGGCGTGTGTTGTGGGTGCATTGTATTCTAGGTTTTCTTCTTAATGCAATGATACGTAGCTCTCCTTCGTATTCGACAAGGAAAAAAACCTTCCCAAGTAAATGGACAAATAATATTAGAAACAGAGGGTGTATAAAAAACAAACCATGCTCCTGGTAAGTGCCACTGCCTCATTGATTGTGTACCCAACAGCTGCAGGATCTCCTTCTATTCTAAGGAAATCACGCTCAACAACACTTTCTGAATGCATCTTCTTGCCTAAAAGTGGGAGATATAGGTTGTCATCTAAAGGATACCACATCAATAGAAGCAAATGTAGCTCAGATGAGCAAAACCATGTGATATACCATCTTGTTGCTCGTGAGAATATTGGAACCCCAATATGTCTCCATCCAATGTGAACCTACAAGACCTGATCCGCTCCACTCTCTCACTCCACGCCTTCCAAGAGTGCCCACTATGTTCACCAGCAGTCAACCAATCCTCTGGTGTAGCACTTTTGGTCTTCTGCGGCCCTGAGTTTTCCAGACCCTTGTCCTTACCTACATCCTTCGTGCCTCTAGATTTCTCCCTTCCCCGCCGCCTCAGCATCTCCACCAATGCAGGGTTCAGCTTATTTACGATATCTGCTTGGGCCTCTGCAATCTCCCCTGCAGACATCCCAGCCAACCTAGCCATGTTCTCTGCACTGATCTCTGCTTCAATCGATGACTCCCTGCCGTCCAGGTCCATACTCTCTGCTTGTGATGCCGAATTCCTAACCTCACCTGCCTTCACCAATTCATCTCTCGATTCAGCCTGACTCATCGGCTTCTTGGACACCACATCAGAAACCGAAAGAACGGCACCTGGTCCTTCCCTAGCATTTCCACTGTCAAGCTGCATAGCACCTCCCTCCAATCCTCCACTGTCAAGCCGCATAGCACCTCCCTCCAATCCTCTTCCCGTAGCTGCCACACCACCTACCTCAGAAACCACAGCCCCAGCATCAATTCTCTGATCGCTTGTTTCTTGGCCTGCACTGGCTTCCCCTGCCTCCGTTTGGGGGGAGCATCGCCAACAAACTCACGCCACTGGCTAAAATCCATGCCCTTCTTCTCCTTCCTTCTCACAGGACCAGCTGCAGCAGCCGCCACAGGATGGTAGTCTGTCTCGTCCATGTCCATCTCGTCGTCCCCAGCCCCATACTTGGAGGCGTCCTTCGCCACGTGACCCCAATGCTGCAGAACGGGAAGTATATACAATCAAAAAGCAACGAAGCAAATCGAGGTTAGGGGGTTAGGGGCCTAGGGTTTGGGAGGGCGGCGGCGGCTTACGGGGCCGTGGGAGCGATGGCGGGCGACGGGGAAGGGGAGAATGGAGGGGCGGGGCGCGGAGGAGGGCGCGGCGGCAGAGAAGCCCTTCTCGACGATGGCACCGACGAGGCGGGACGGGGACACCGCCGCCGCGGCAGGTGTAGGGGGTGCGGGGTGGAAGGGCTCCTCCAGGACCTTACGGCATGTAGGTTGCGTGCCGCCGGGCTGGTGCCACCGCTTCGTCGGCGCGTCCATCGGGGATGGGACGGGAGCGGAGCGCTACGTGGCGGTGTGATGAACAGCGAGAGGGGTTTAAGGGGCTCTGGCGCTCTGCGCGTATTTGGTTTTTTTTTGTGTGTGGGGGGCATTAAAAAAGATTGGAATACCCTTTTGTGTCTCTAGAAAAGTGCAGTGGTCTTCAGCGTCACTGCTCCAACTTTTTTGTCGCCGCTGCCGTCAGTTTGGGCTCTAACGCCGTCAAACTGCAGGTGTGAAAAGTCAAAAATATCCTTATGTCTAAATATATCATTAATTTTTTTAGCATCTTAACGACTTCAAATGAAAAAACTCAAAACTAGAAAGTTGTAGATCTCGTCGAGATCTATAATTTTCATATAAAAATTATCTTCATTTAATTCCGCAAAATAATATGATTTGATATGATTAATATATCTTAGAAAAATCATATCTTTTTTTTGTGAAATTAAATAAAAATAATTTTGACGGCGTTAAAGCCCGAACTGACGACAGTGGCATGGAGGGCACAAAAAAGTTGGAGCAGTGGCACTGAAGACCGCTAAATTTTTTCAGGGACACACAAGGCATTGCGATCTTTTTTAATGACACACAAGGAATTCCCCCTTGGTTTTGTGGTCGCCCGTGACATGGACCCTCTAGCTGGTGCAGCTTAAAGAGAAGTAAAGTAATAGAGGTCACCGAGCAGGGTGGGCATTCAGTTTAAACTGACAAATCGGTACAAAAAAACCGACGAGAATTCGGTGTCGGTTTTTCGGTTTCCACCAAAAAAACCGAAGCAAGCACAGAGAAGGAAAAATCAAAAGGGAGAAGAACGCCAAAACTGAGAAGGAAGAACGAATCGTAGTCCTCAGATGCCGCAATAGCCGGATGCGCCGCCTACGATGTGCCCTGCTCGCGTGTTGCAACCAGAGCCAGGCACCCTGCTCGCCGCCACCACTCCCGCCCGCCTATTATCGATGGATCCCTATCTCTCTCTGTCGCTGGCTCGCTGCTAGCTGAGCGGCCTGAGTTCGAGTCTTCAAGGGAGAGGGAAGGAGCAGAGCGGTGGACGGGGCGATGGGCACGGGCGGAGCGAACGACGGCGCAGAGAGCCACGGTGGTGGCGGAACTGCGACTCCGCAGCGCAGGGAGCCACGGCGGTGGTGGAACTGGGAGGCCGTGCACGGAAAGGGAGGGGCGAGCCACGAGCGGAAGGGAAGGGGCGAGGCCACACACGGAAGGAAGGGGCGAGGCCGTGAGCGGAAGGGAGGGACCGCGGGAGCGACCCAGAGTGTGCGGCGGCTGGCAAGTGGAGTCTGAACTCTAGGTTTCAAGTGTTTTTTTACTTTTATACTTCACATAGTTGGGCTCACAAATTGGGCCCGTAAACGTCTGTTGGGTCACGCCTATGGGATATTTGAATTGCACCACTACTAACAGTTTCCCGACGGGGATCGGTGATGTGCTGCAAGGAAAGTTCTCATCCTAGCCTCACCCGAGGGGGATCTCTTTTGTCCCGTTTAAAAACTACCCGTTCTCATCCCCTAATGGATTGGGGGGCCGTTGCCATCTTGAGCCCGAATTAGTGGGCTGGCTGCCTAGCTCTAGCTGCAACGCTGCATACCATGCGAGCAAATACTCGGTTTATTAGTGCCTCGGTGCACCGTTGGCCACCTGGGTACACCGCGCCGCTGCTGCCTCCGAAGGATAGGGTTAGGGTTAGGAGCTGGTGCCGTGCAGCTAGGTGCTAGGTGTATGCGTGAGGGACTGAGGGGACTAGGTGTATGTTGGATTGGTGGGCCTGAACTGGTGGGCTGGCTGCCTAGTTCTAGCTGCGACGTTTGAGTACCTTGCGAGCAAATACTCGGTTTATCAGTGCGGTTCGGTGCGACGTGAGAACCAAAGCCGAGCCAAACACCATCTAGCTAGCCTGGTCCAAATCCCAGCCAAGCTGAGCGCATGCATACTCTTTTGTTTCGTTACTTGCGTGAGGTAACTTGGTTTGGAAAAGAAGTTGTTTGGTTTCCCTATGAGTCAAGTATCACAAATATGTCAAAATAAATACTAAAATATTAATTATTTATGTTATTATGTCATAATAAATTTAATTTACCTAATCCAATCTTAATTTGTTTTAGAAGTGTTTGTTAGAGGGACATTAGGATTGGAATGATATCATGTTTATTCGTGGCAGACCAATAGCTCTGAATCGAATGGACGGGGATGTTCCCCGTTGGCGACATTGGGCACCGTTCATGAGCGCCTCTTCCTCCTCACGGCCGGTCTTCTCCTCCGTGTGGAGCTTTACCTTACCGTCGGCACTGCCATGCTCCTAGGGGTGGGCATTCGGTTCCTCGGTTCGATTCCTCAGTTATTAATGAAATTCGGTACCTATAAAATGAGAACTGTCGGGGTTATGATACCCCGGGTATCTCAAGGCACTGAATAGTTAGCTACCCGAGCGGCCCACGACGACCTAGACAACAGAAGCCTAGCAACCGTGGCCCGTCTCAAGCCACGCGGACCTAGGCCATAGACTAAGGCAAGTGGTCAACCGCGACCTCACTCTATCTTCCTTCCGCTGCACGCAACGTAGCACCGCACGACCTCTCCTCCGTCCCGACCCCAGAGAAGGAACCGGGAGGGGTCAAGCTCCATCAAGTACTCCTGCCCTAACAAGGACAGACATGCCCACTCACTCCACTAGCACTGAGGGGATAGCCCTCTCGGAGCAGACGCCATCCCTGCGCCACACCGCGCCGACATGACAGCACCGCCAGGCGATGACGACAAGTACGATGACCCACCGTCCAAATACGGCCCGATGGGACGGGCGTACGGCCCCACTCACTACAGGATGGGGCGCACAACCCCAGCCTTGACTTTCAAGGTTGGCCAAGCTGACAAAGGCCTCGACCCTGCAACTCAGGGTCAAGGCGACCAACGACCAGGAGTGCTACTTACTCCCATACTGACGCCACCAGAAGGACGAAAGACGATGACGAAGGCCACGGCGAGCTCACATCGCATATGATAGCTGGTGAACCTCAACTGTGCCAACAGTGTCGTCATGACCAGCACTGTAGCATCATGCCACATCATGCTGCGATGGGTGGGAGCAAGACCATGACGGCAACCAAGCCTGGACGTATGCTGATGCCAACACAAGACGGCCTTCCTCGCAAGCCAAGTTTACTAGTTTTCCCTCCCTTAGGCTCATGACTCCTCGGTCGGGAGAACCTATCTCTCTATAAGCAACTTGACCCCGGACTCTATAAAAGGGAGGTCAGGGCACCCTTCCAACGGGACGAACTCTCGAGACTTCATTCGGGTTGTCCCTCTCCACTCTCCTACCTATTTCACTCTTCTTGCACACCCCATTGTAAGAACTTCAGAGCATTCAATCAGGAACACGCACTTAAACTCTCTCTAAGACTAGACGTAGGGCTCCGTCCTGAACTAGTATAACTCCTTGTGTCTTTGGATGCTACCATCGTCTTCATAGAGCAGCGCGACATATGTATAAATTCACTCGTCGGGTGATGAGATCCTAACATATGGGTATGTTATGCGTCAGGTATAATGGTTCCCGAACGATGAAGACCCCCGACTGACCCCTCTAGGATCGCCCGGGGGCTCGAGGGCTATACCCATCGGGTATGCTCGCGCGCACCCTCTAAGAAGAAACCTGGCCGAGCCTGGCTCCGCCACGACCTCCGCTTGGGGCTCGGGGATTTGCCCGAGCCCTGAGGCTCCTGATCTATGACAACACTTTGGCTCGGCCCTTGGCTCTAGCCCCGCCAACGACACTAGCAAAGGCCTAGGCATAAGAAGACATGCCCCGAGCTGCCAAGGCTCGGGGGCTCCCCGGCGCTGCCCCTTAGGCACGGCATTGCCGGCCACTTTCTCAACAAGGTCACTCACGGGGCATGACATAAGAAGACAAAGCTTTCTCGTGGCCTACAGGGGCTCGAAGGTCCCCGGGCCCACGCGTCAGCCCCTAGAGCCAACCTCCTTCACCTCCAAGAAGACTCCAGAAGGTTCACTTGGGGGAGGCTAGTCCAAGCCGACACAGCCTGACACATAGAGTGTCAGAACAGAGAAGCTAGACGACACCCAAGGCTTCTTTGGCTCCACGACACCACCACGATCCACAGCACATCGCTGCAAGACCCTCCTAGACTCCAGCGCATATAGACCATAGACTATTTCCCCCAAATTGCCATGTACCTGCCCTATCTCGTTATATAAGGGATAAGGACGGACCTAGAGGGGGGACGATCATCAGAAGACAGATCATTCCATTCCACTCCATCCTTTGGCCTCCGCTCAGCACCAAGAGCAAGGCAACCTAGAGAGGGGCACCAAGAGTTCCTCCAGCGCATCCCATCGTCTTCCTCCTCTTCGATGAGGGGAAGACTCCACTGGCAGCGAGGCAACCTTAGGATTAGCACTGAGCTATCCCCCTACCAAATCCCTCTACAACCCTATAGTAACCCTTCGATTTTGGGTGCTTTTGAGTATAAGGATCATCAACTGCTGGACGTAGGGCATTGATTGGCCCGAACCAGGATAAACCATTGCATCCTCTCTGTGATTCTTGTGTTCTTGAGTCCACCTAAGCCACCGGAGACACATACTCAGACACCAACTCGAACAATAATGTTTGTCATGGTTCCGACCTCACGACAGCTGGCGCGCCAGGTAGGGGGCAGCATCAAGTGCGATTCATGCTGTATGGTGGCTAGAGCCACCCGCCTTATCACTGGAGCAAGCGACACCACCCCAGACGGTGGTGTCCGCTTCCTCGGCGAGTTCTCCATCACAGCCGGTGCCTTCGCTCTAGGCTAGGTCCTCAACTTTGGGAGCATGGCCTACATCGCTGACTACTATAGCGAGCTTCGTCCACTCCACATGGCTACACCGGTGGGCAACAAGACCCTGGCGTCGCCCCCTCTACCAGGACTTCTAGGAGCAGATCTTGAGGTCCTAGCCTGATAGATCCGACATGGTTTGGG